CGGAGGCGGCCACCCTGCAGAAGAAGTACGACTCGAAAGCGGCGGAGGCGGCTGCAGAAGGAGTACGACTCGAAAGCGGCGGAGGCGGCCAACCTGCAGAAGGAGTACGACTCGAAAGCGGCGGAGGCGGCCAACCTGCAGAAGGAGTACGACTCGAAAGAGGCGGAACCTGCAGAAGGAAAACGGAGACAGAAACTGAAGGAAAAGGAAGCAGAAATCAAACAAGTAGAGGTACGTGCACAGAGAGAGGATACAGGTCTCGGGCATCTGGTTCCCTTAGCGGAGAAGCATTCCTGACGCGCGTCGTCTCCTCCGCAGACCGAGTGCGAGGCCAAGATGCGGGACACGAACACAGCCTACAACGCCAAGGAGGACGAGGCATACGACCTGAAGAGGGAGAAGGGAGACCTGATGCTAGAGATAGGGAGAAAGGAAGAGGAGATAAAAAGCTAGAGGTATGTAAGGGAGATGAAGAGAGGGGAAAGAGAAAAGCTGAGAGGGAGAGGGAGAGAAAGATACAGGAGGTGAGAGAGAAAAAGAGAGTGGAAGACAAAGTGGAAAAAGGAATGAGAAACGGGTAAAAGGTAGGAGAGAAAGACGGGGAGAAAGGGGAGGTGGGATGGGGACATAACACGGGGAGGAAGCAAAGTAAAAGTTTGATTCCGTTCGAAACATCCTGACCAAGCTTGACTGCTTCAGGGCCAGGTGAAGAAGGCGCGAAGGGACCGGCAAAGGGGCGAGAGAGAGGCCGGGGCCGAGAGGGAAGGCTTCAATGCGCAAATCGCAGGCCTTGAGGAACGCATTGCAACTCTCCAGGTGAGTTGTCAGCCGTGTGATCAGATACAGACTTGCAGCGATACTTTTGTTACATGCTATATCAATAGCATATGTGCATATATTAAGTTGGTACCACATAGACGTATATGTAGTGCATCCACCTGTATGTATATATGTATCTTTTCATCAGAGTGAATAAACACAAGGGAATAAATCTGAGAGAGAGAGAGAGAGAAGGGTATAGAGTGAGGGTGGAGGGAAGAGAAATGTGATAAACAGATAAAGAGAGGCAGGGAGGGAGAGAAGAGAGAGAGAAAGGGAGAAAGAGAGATAGAAAGAGAAATAGAGAGAAAGAAAAAGGTGAGCGGAAGAGATAAAGACATAAAAGATGTGCATATACAGATGAATAGAAAAATAGAGACAGAGAGGGATAGATAAAAGAAAAAGGAGGTAGGGTGAGAAAACCAAAGAGAGAGGAGTAGATAAATATATAGGCACACACAGAGGCGGATAAATAAACCAGTAGATGAACAGATAGATAAATAGATAGATAATGAAAGAAAAGGAGGTTGGAGGAGGGGAACAGAGGAGAAAGGAGACAACAATAACCTTGCCTTCCCCGCAGTCTCATCTGGAAGAAGAATCGCGCAAGAATCGAGCGCTGACGACGCAGATCGCAGAGAAGGAGAGCGAGCTCACGCAAGCCGAGGTAAGGGATTCATGTCGAACAGATTGCAACAGGAACAGCGAAGGGAAGAACAAGGAAACACGGATATGGCGAAGACCTTTTCGCTTTACTGCTTCGTCAGGGCATGAGTGTGTGCCCTGATGAAGCAGTGAAGCGAAAAGGTCTTCGGCATATCCGTGTTTTTTCTCGCTCTTCCCCTCGTTGTTCCTGTTGCAAGCCGAGGTAAGTCCTCCCTTTGGAAGCCAAGGAACCGCTGGAGTGCGCGCACAGAGAAAGCCAATCGTCAACACAAGCAGGTGTTCCATGCCGCAGTACTCATAGAGTGTTCGTTTCCAGGCAGATCACGAGAAAAGGGTGAAGAACCTCAAAAAAAGGGAGAAGAGGAAAGAGAAAGAGGCAGCCGAGGACAGAGGCGAGCTTGAGAGCGAACTCAAGAGACGAGACAAGAAGATCGAGGACCTCAAGGTAGGGGCGAGTTTATTATATATATGTATATATATACACAAAAATAACAATGATGAAAAATAATAATGATGATAAAATAATAATAATGATAAAAAATAATAATGATAAAAATAATAGTAATGATAAAAAAATAAGGACAAGGAAATTAACCTTTTCTTCAGAAGAAACTAAGAGACCAAGAAGAAGAAAAAGAAGTCGACCCGCAGTCCGAGGAGGAAGACAGCCTGCTGAAGCGAATGATGGTGAGTGCCCCGCGTCCAGACGCTTCCCTCTCCGTCGGGTGAAATAAAGGCTATTTCTATGCAACTGCAGTCTGCAGGGAGGGAGGGAGGCAAGGGTTCAGATCTTTCAAACAATGATAAACAACAAGAGAAGAAAATACATGTAATTTTCTCATTTCTTCACTTCAGAGGCAGCGCGAGCAGGAAGAGAAAATGAAAGACGTTCTTTCTGCGATGGAATATTTTCGTCTGCAAGAAATGGAGGCAAGTGTGTCAGCGATTCAATTAGTTTCTATTAAAATGTTTCTGTGAATACATACATACATATTTCTATATACATGTATATGCA